TTTGAGTAAACAATCTTCTGCCGATTACTGCATCCCCATTTACCATTTGTACATTGAGATTGTGTCCCCTCTTGTTCAACTCTTCTCTAAAGTGGAAGAGTTTAATTTCTGTAACCTATCCTCAGCGCTTAGGTCCTCCAGCCCCCTCCCCACCTTATGCTCTTCTCTGTACTCTCTCAAGTTCACAGACATCCTTCTTGTTAATTGGTGCCCAAAACTGAACCGCGTACTCAAGGGCGTCCCGAGGCTTGGTGACACCCGTACTCTAGGTGAGGCCAGACCAGAGTTTATAAAAGGAGGCAGAAATATGAATTTGTCTCTAGAATGAATACCTTTATTTATGCACAATAGTACTCTACTTGCTATATTTGTGACGTGTGCCCTGTCCCTTAGCCTAAATCGGAAAGTATCATCAAATGCTAAGCAATTCCACCAAATGCTAACTGACTCCACTCAAAACTATATTTTCCCTGCAATAGCAGAGCTAGTATTCTCAAGAGTCCAGTGGCCCATATCTCCTATCTTCCATCCAACACTGCTGTATGTACAGCATTGATCTAGGGGGTCAGAGGATGAAGCCACAGGTTGCGGCAAGGAACACATCCAACACTTCTGGAAGGGTTAAATGCTGAAGAGTCTGGCAAAAGATTAAATCCCAGGAATGGAAGAGACAGGCTGCCAGAGTACAATACCTCTTCTACTACAGAGAACTTTCATTTGCATTTGTTTTAGAGCCCATCTCTTTAGGTTATCCCTCTTAGCACAAAGTCTTATACTAGCCTTTCCACCCATCTCATGTGCAGCCTGGGCGGAGCAACCCAGTCGCCACTGCAAACATTCAAGTTTACCATGTCTATTATGTTTCCCAAGAATTGATAGCCTCTCCATAGACCAAATGTGCTTGTTTTTTTGCACATGCACAGAAGAGAGGGCCTAATAGGAAAGAGTTCACAGTAAGGGTTGTGCAGCATGGAAATGCAAGTATAAAACTTTGCAGGGGTTGGGAGGTGGGTTAACTTATATGAAAGTATAGCTACCCTTCAAATCAGACTCCTCATGCAGAACAAATCAGTAAAAACAATATAAATCTGCTGTATACTGTCAGTAAGATCAAAGTAGTTGAAAAAAAGAGTAAAAAATACAGGTGGTGAAATTTACTTGGCTACAACAACTTCATGGTGTCAAGTCAATACTATTAATAATGTGATATTAACAGCCTTTGCCCTCCCTTTTCCCTAGCAGATGATCATTATTTCAAGATTATAAATGGCACAAAAAACATAGGTATGCTCATTTAAGAGCTAACATTCAACCCTTTAGCTCCCACAGATGCAAGGCTCACGATAGTGGCAGCAGAGACCTACAAACGGAATCGGGGTTGCTATAGCAGCTTCTTTACATTCCTTCTGCAGGCCAATAACTTTTACTAGAAGTGATTTGAGTTATGTGTATGCAAACTAATATTTAATCAGTCACAAGTGATTTTTTCAGACTTTTTCTTCTACAGAATATATACAGTGAGGTAGATATGGAGGTGTAAAAAGATAAAAATTCAAGGACTGAAGATAACAGAAATGAAAAAACAATGGAGTTACTGACATATTTATCCTGAATTTCCTTATTTAAACATTATACTGTATGCGTTACATAACTGGACTCTAACTGGAAACTAACAAAAAACGCCTTTCACTGAAACTATTGGGTCTTTTCCTCCTCCCCGACTGCTAACAAGTGTAAAATGATAGCATTAAAATAGTCAAGTTTTGGCTTATAGATACGGAATTTGATTTTTATGGGCCACAGACCTGTGCTGCAAGGAAAGCACGTTTTAATGCAAAGCAATACAGCACTGCAAGTTCTTTCATTTAATAACTAGTGTATAGCAGAGTCTGGGTGAAGATGATTGTGTATTGTTGTTGAGTGATATTGCCACATTATACTGCCAAGAGATGTCTGCACTACATCTGTCTCCGATGTCTTCTCAAGAGGATGACTGGGAAGCAGACACTATAGGCCTCTTAACAGTTCTGATCTTCACATGACACTTCATTTGATCTATATAGATTTAGTGAACAGCATGGTACTTTACCCATCATTATTCGGGATGTCTGCTGGCCTGAGAGGAAGAAGAATGCTTAGGTCAGCTCCGTTTAAAATGTTCTCTCTAAAAAGTATGTGTTACTTTTCCACAGATATTCACCTCATGTCTGGGAAATGAGTTGGCTTTTCAGATGAAGCCTTGTCCCACCTGCACACACCTTTCACAAGAACCCATTATTAATGAGTGGTCAAAGTGAACAGTGAAGGAGTCACACATGTCAGGCTGCAGTACATTGTGTACTTGGGTTCTTTTCCGTGAGCACATTTAACTGTGTGTATTGTTGGAAAGTTTGTTTGTTTCAGTATGAAGATGCTGCTGTCACATACCTGGTGAGACCAAAAAGGTGAGGAGGCTTCTCTTGCGACTCATGTCCTTCTGCCCCTGGAGGTGGGAACAGGGAGCAGTTGGACAGCGAGGAGCACAAGTGCCACTAATGGGAACCGACACTGTGCAGGAGAAGTCCTGATGACGTGTAGTCAGCAAGCCTGGGGTCCACTGAGAAGACAGCGTGGAGCAGGAACAAGAGACTGGAGCATAGTCAGGAAAGCTAGAGGTCGGAACCAACCAGGCCGCAGAGTACAAAATCAGGAGGCAAAGTCCAGGAAACAGGCCAATGTCAGGGGCAGGCAGCAAACCGATAGCAAAGTCCAAACAAACCGGGTCAAGCAGGTCACAGGAATCCAACAGGTACAAGCACACACAAACACCAGCTGAAAAGACCATCAGCAATGGAGCAATGGATTTTTATATGGCGAGCTTAACCAGGTAGCAGCATCACTTCCTGTGCAACGGCCGTTGTGCGTGTTTTCGCGCACTTCCGATTTGAGTGCACAATGGCGCGTTTTCCGGCCACATGGAGAATTGGTGTGCGCGGCTGCCATTTTGCCCTTACAACTGCCGATGTCAGTGTCATTGTAATGCACATTTTCAAAACCACCAAGCATTTCAACTTATTAGTAAAGCAAAGTTGGGACAGCTCCTTGGCCAAGCCATCCCTTGACCAGCCAGCTTAAGTTCACAATCTGGTTGCTTGACCAAACTCCAGGGTACAATTATGTTATGACTACAGACCACAAAAGCTTGGTAAAAACTGATTACCTCAATTCTTTCCCTTTTCCTGGCTTTAGCTTCTTTTCAATAATTGGCTTCTGTCAAGCTGTGTGGCTGCAGAATGGTAATACTGCTTTGGTCCTGAGGGAGGGAGGGGGGGGGGCCGGGGAGTAGGCTTCAATATCCAAACACTGCCACAACCGGGTTCACAACAGAGTTCATATACATCCCATTACCAAACAAACAAATTCCCTATGAAACAATGTACTGTTGCTAAATAAGCCACCTTTTAATCTCTTTACAGAAATGTATTACCTAACAAAACACACTAAATGGTACATCATTTATTTGCTGTACTGCAATCTGCTGCCTATAAAGGATGCTAAAGACCATTCCAATTCTATGTCACAACTGATTTTTGTCCACAGCTGTATCCAGCCAAATATGTATTGACATATAAAAAGTGAAAACAAAATGTAGAAAATACAGTTTTTAGAATACTATGCCTGGGGAATTTAAAAGATGATGATAAATGTGTGCACCGATTCCTCAATCACTCCTATGTGGCGAAAAACACATTATCCGTATAACATTTTGATATATTAGGGAGGGACTTAAAAAGGTCTTTTGCTGCATATTGAAATCCTTCAAGCAGAGTTAAAATTAAAAAATTTGAAGGTGAGAATGTCTCCAATGATTACAATATATGAGGGTTTTTCTTTATTTTTCAAACACAAGGAAAGGTGTAAAGCTGTGAAAAAGATCTTTTGATGGATGTGAATAATTTTCAAAGTATCGTGATCTCATAATTATAATATTAAGAACTGAGTGAAAAGACAAAAAATCTTTAAAGCGAAACCTCCAGACTGAACAAAGTAGAGAAGGGTTAGAATTCTTTTTTTTTACTCCATGTTCCCACTGTGGAGATTTCCCTTCACTTCTTCTCTGCGTGACCACATTGAGAGTGATGAGGAATCTCCATAACAGGGGACAAACCAAAATAAAAGCTGCTTATATGTCCTCAATGAAGAGATTCTACATTGACCACATAGGCAGTAAGGAATAATATCTCCCAACAGAAAGACAGAAAGCAATGAAAACCTGATTCCACCCCTTCTTCGTTCTTTCCAAAACTGGATTATGTAGCATGACAAATAATTACATGAAAGGAAAAGTCTGTGCTTAGTAGTTATTGATGTAAATCACTAACAATGAAGAAGTCTATTGATTTAAGCCATGAATGATAGCTGGTGCGTGTAATTACACATCAATACAGATATGAGAAATCAAAACCCCTTAAAATGATTCTGTAAGTAGACACTATGTTGAACCAGAACTATTATGCCACTCAGTGTCTGTTTATCTTTCTCTATGCTTTTGCATACATTACTAAACACAATTTTGTTGGTAAAGTAGTATAAACACATTTTACAATCGTGAATCAAACAAATATACATTGCCCAACAAAGTATTTCTTTACATTTGTGCCCAAGCACTCTCAATTGTCTTGTTTCTGAACAGCTGGCTCCAACTCTTTCATCTAGGCTTCCTTGAACTTCCTGTCTAGTACAAGGAACAGAGAAGTCACCAGCAGCTGTCCATCTACTAGCTGGAAGAAGGAGGAGCAGGAGAGTGGCTTGTCTTGCTGTGCGTTAGTGGAAAGTCCATAAACCCACTGCATTACTGACCATCTAGTTCGTGGCAGGTAGTGGGTGCAATGGTGACCAATGATGCCACCAAGACAGAATATACAAATATGGGACACCGGCACTCCAAAGTAACTGAAGAATAGGTCTTATTCATGCATGTGCATGTCATTACATAATAGTCAGGGTGTCACATATGCCTGATGAAGGGGATCCTGCGTGACCCCAAAACGTCGCTATTATGTGAAGTTATTCATGTGCGTCAATAAAAGAGACGTATTCTTCAGCAACTTTGGAGTGCCGGTGTCCCGTATTTGAATATGCATTTGTGGAGACACACAGAGCTTACTAGCACACACAAGGGTGGCTTCATAGGACCCTGTCGGAGAAAGGAGTCAGCCTAAAACAGGATATCAGGGCCAGTGCTCAGGAGACCAGCCGATTCTGCAGGAAACTTCTACACATCAAGGAGCAGCATCCATTGCAAGTGATTTCATCAGCATTTGAAAAAGCTTAAAACCCCTTTGACTTTAAAATTACGTTAAGGTGGTATTTGTAAATTAAGTACAAGCTTGAGTGTTAAAGTTTACTCACAGAACTGCATCTTCAAATGTTCTAAAATCTTGAATCTATTCTTCACCACATTTGAAAGAAAACCATAGCCTGTAAAAATAAAAACAATCATTTTATTCTAGACTTAAAAGAAAAACTTTTATTTTGACCAAATAAAAGAAAAAGTGGACAACCCATTACAAAATGTATTTCTCAGTCACAACGGTACTACTGTTTGATATTACACTGGTACTAACAAAACCAGGGCTTCTGTCAACAAAAAGGGGTATCATAAGTACCATATAATAAGTGAAAGACAAAATGGACAGAACTATGGAATCTTTACACAGTGAAATTTATCGCAGTGAATATATTAACTTACTAGCCCTATTTTTTTTATACAGACCAATCAGCCATAACATTATGACCACCTTCCTAATATAGAGTAGGTACCACTTTTGCCATAAAAACAGCTCTGGCACATTGAGGCATGGACGCCACTAGACCTTTGAAGGCATGCTGTGGTATCTAGCACCAAGCCATCCATAGCAGGTCCTATAAGTCCTGTAAGTTGTCAGGTGAGGCCTCCATGGATCGGAGTAAAAATTAAGGATAAATATTTTTATTTTTTACTTTTAGGAGCTTTGGGAAATATTGGGGGTCTAAACAGACCCCTGATATTCCACTTTTAAAATAGAAAAAAAAGAGATTGAGAACGTAGAGTCCTAATTTTCTTTTTCTGCAGTCCCTGTTATAAATGAACAGGAATCCTCTAGTGTTCCTATTCATTCATAACATGAGGACAGAGTATGTTTACTATAACCACAATCATGAATGACCAGGAGGGGATGTAGATCACTTCCCATTCATTCATAATTGAGGACACAGTAAACATAATATGTCCTCAATTATTTACAAATCACTGATATGTACTCGCTCTCCTTACTAACACGCTCCTCGCAGGAGGCTGAGCGAGTGGTGCAGGGCAGAGAGCTCGGTCTGACAGCCGACTCCTCCCACGCACCGCCAGCCAGCCTCCTGTGACAGCACTGGTTGTCTCCGCCCACACGGCCGTTCTCCCGATCTGCGACAGGAGGCTGAGCAGTGCAGGTAGGAGAGACGCTGGCCGCTCACACCGCTCGGCTGCCTGTGACAGTTTCTCTCCTCCTCGCTGAGACCTAGATGCACCACTATTTCGACCCAAAAAATGGCACTTCGGCATTTTGCCAAAAGTGCAATTTTTAGCTGATATGTTTCAGCGGCCAATATATCGGTGCATCATTATATACATACATACATACATATATATATATATATACACACACACACACATACAGGTGAAACTCGAATAATTAGAATATTGTGCAAAAGTAATTGCAGTAAGTGCTGCAAAAGGGGCCCAAACCAAGTACTGAGTACATATGCATGCTTGTACTTTTCAGAGGTCCGATATTGTTCTATGTACAATCCTTGTTTTATTGATTGCATGTAATAATCTACTTTTTTGAGGTTGTGGATTTGGGATTTTCATGAGCTGTAAGCCATAATCATCACAATTATGACAAATCACGGCTTGAATTATCTTGCTTTGCATGTAATATACATGTAATCTCATATATTAGTTTCACCTTTTAAGTTGCATTAGTGAAATAAATGAACTTTGCACAATATTCTAATTATTCGAGTTTCACCTGTATATATTCATACATACACACATCACAATTAGATGTAACCGTATAACTCACATTCCCTTATACTGTCCAGTAGCTATCAATGGCCTCCAAGTTGATGACAATATTTGAGAAGCTCATATAATGGCTGTTTTTGCTTCAACTTGACTAGTGCTGGATTTTTTGAAACAATCTTCACATATGCAAACTGAACAGAGCAAATATTGTTCTCTTCAAGTACACGACTCTTCTAAACTCTATTGAAACGAAGTATAAAAGCAGCAGGAGGAATTGAATAGAGACAATACAAAACAAAAGTGAATTGCTTGTGTGTAAAAATCCTTGGCACATTTTCTTGCCACCTTTGCACTATATCAACTTGTTTATTTGAAAAGAAAGCAAACCAATATTTCACAGCAGTGAAGTACTTTTGTGTGATACGGTTAGGCGGCTAGCCGGAAGTCATGCTAAGCATGCTGGTTATGAAAAGGTTTATTCTTGGAATCTGGTATAGCTGCAACTTCGCAAAAATGAAGCCAAGTTAAATGAGTTGTGTAAAAAGTAACACACACACACACACACACACACACAGCCTACAAATGAATGTTAAAAATAAAACATTACAATAACGTGCCACCCTGTGAAGATCTACAATACTCCCCTCTCCTGTGCCACTGAATTCTGCAGTAGTAAAGAGACTGCTGGCTAAAGATCCGGCAGAATCTGACACTTCCGGGAGTGTTGGATTTCTGGTTAGCCATTGTTGTCAATGGTTTGACATGTTGGCCCCTACATCACAATACACTTTGGAGGGCCAGGAAATCAACACTGGAAAGTGTCAGATTCTATTCTTTACTGCAGAGATTGATGGCAGGAGTTGAGGTGAGTATTCAATATCTTCTTTGCAGGGGGCACATTAGTGTCTATAGCAGACTCTGGTCTGCTATTGATAAACGTTTTCTCTGTCATTAGGCCATTTCGTTCTTGCGATCCTGTTGCTGGCAAGCACTCACTAACAACCAGGGTGGATTTGATTTAAATCAAGTCGATTTAAATCATGATTGAAATCACTAGTAAAAAGGCTTGATTTGAATCAACTCGATTTAAATCATAATTTTTAAAGAGTGACTGTCAACTCTGTCCCGCAGCAGCTCCTCCTCTGACCCGCTGTTGACTCACCGACAGTCCCATTCACTTTAATGGGACGGCTGGTGATGCGGCAGTGACACAACAAGGTGAGGGGTAGGGGGCAGTAGGTGCGTGGATGCCTGCTAAGTGCTCTTTAAATGTAAGGACTCATTCCTGCCGGTAGTAAGAATCTTTAATATTATTTGCAAACAAAACGAAGGTTTCCTATTTTAGAATAAGCTGTCAGGTTAGTAAAACAGCGATATCGGAACCGATTTTAGGCTAATCACACATAATTGGGTAACTACTCAAACTCTTAAATTAAAATAGCATTATGTTACATATTCTTGTATTAGTAATGCATCAATGCAGTGCATGTTATCTCAGCTTGCAGAGCTTGGATTTATTAAATGAGTTTACCAAAAATGTAAATATTGCAGAATATACAGGCTCATGCTACATAACGAAGCTCCATTTCATGCTGAACAAAATGATTAATGTATCCTTAATAGAAAATTGGAGTTACGTACCTGGTAACTCTGTTTCTAGGAACCTTCCAGCACAGCATTAGAGATATAGGCTCCTCCCACCGGAACAGGAAACACATCACCCACACTTAGAATAAAAAGGAGCACAAGCCTAGCACGCTTCAGTTAAAACATAAGAACCGAAGGGATACCATAGTGCAACTCGTTCATAGAATTATAGATACCTATACACATATATACACCCATAATAATACCTAACATTACATTGCCTAGCAACGCATAGTAAATTAGTCCACCATATCGGGCGGGAATCCCTGCTGTCCTGGAAGGTTCCTAGAAACAGAGTTACCAGGTACGTAACTCCAATTTTCTCTAGTCACCTTCCAGGACAGCATTAGAGAGGATAAGCGAGCACCATACTCACAATCAGGGACTGCAAAACAAAAACGACACCGTTAAAACCCAGCAATCTTCCAACTTGTGTCAACCCCATTTCTCATGCCCCCAAACACTGAGAAATAACCGGTAAAGGAAATGGGGAACACCCCCTCTCTTACCTTAGAGCTGCCGGCACCAGGATCCCCCAGATCAAATGATGCCATTGTGGTGCGCCCCACTATTGGTGCCCCCCCTTGCGTGTGTGGGCACCGCAAGGGCCTTGCGACCCCCTGCTTCAGATGTGTTGGCCATCTGTAGCGTGGACCGAATGGTTGCCGCAGCCTGGCAGTGTCTGCTCGTATGTCTCCGCGCACCAGAAGTGACGTCAGACGCGCTGCGGACACGGGCGGACGTTCGTTACTTCCGGCGGTACGACATTTCCGCCCACATTTCGTACGCCGGGAAATGCCTCCCCCATGCCACACGAGGACGCCGCGCCCCAGTCCCGCGGACCGGAGCCAGGATGCCCGAAAGCCACCACCGTTGCAGGTAAGAAAAAAAGCACACCACTTTGAAGCAGAGGTTTTTCGCCCGGGGGAACTCCCCTGAGTCCACTACACCAACAGGTCAAGTTGCCCTGCACACCCTTGTGCAGGTAAACTACAGGCATTTTCTTTCGGACAGTTGGGGCTGTCCAGGAAGCCCCCCTTCCTGGGTACCCCGGGTCCACTGACCCTCTGCTGTACCCCTGTCGGGGGGAAGCCCCTGCTCACCAGCACGAAGGCCTAAGGAAAACAACAAACATTACGATGTCCTGCTCGGCCGGAGGAAACACAAAATAACTGAAGCGTGCTAGGCTTGTGCTCCTTTTTATTCTAAGTGTGGGTGATGTGTTTCCTGTTCCGGTGGGAGGAGCCTATCTCTCTAATGCTGTCCTGGAAGGTGACTAGAGAAAATTATGTTTAGATCGATTTTTACTCCAAAAGCATTTTAATAAAATACATTTGACACAATTTTAAAAAAAAAATCCGATTTTTTAATTATTTTTAAAACATCATCGATTTTTATCCACACTGCCAAGAACACGTTGCTTAATGGACAGGGAGAACACTCACCTGCTTTGTACTGTATGTGCCGCTCTCTTGCCGAATGGATCAGCGAAACGCAACACAGCACCTGTCATTAGCTGAATAAATATTTCCTATGCTCCTCCGCTCCATCTAGTGCTTATAATGTGGTATTTGCCTGATATTGCATTTGACTTTGAAAGAAAATATGCTAACATTTACTTTTGCCTCCATTTACACAGAACAAATGTGTATGCAACTTCCCAAGATGAATGGCTCTGCCAATTGTTTATACATTTAATATACATATTGGGGCTGAGATCTCCGATTGCTGAACTCCAGGTACAATATACAGTACAGCCTTGTCCTCAGGGAAGAGAGTCAGAGTATTCTGAGTTTTAATCCAGTGGCAGGAGGGTCTCCGTGGAAGAAAACTAGAAGATGATGAGAACTGTTGGGACATCTAGTTCTTTATGCGTGGATTCTGTGATCGGGGAATGCTGGGACTTGTAGTTCCTTACAGGCTGTAAACCAATGTACCCTTGCTCTGGACCCTTTGCTGCCTGCTACACGGTGTACCTGACCGGTTTCCCTCTGGAAGGACTCTGCAATACCCTCACTCTGCAGATTTCCTTGCCTGGATCTACCTACGTCAAGCCAACCAAACCAGCTGCCCAGGACTGTTGGACACCTATGGTGTCAGTTGCTTAATCCTTGTCTTCGGTTCCTTGCTGTGCACGTGATGACTACCCTGTGAACTGCCCTAAGATTGCTTCCCTGTGACACTGTGGATTTAGCTTGTGCTATTCCTTGCTGCCGTTAACCCTGTGCCTTGCCCGGATTCCTGCCCTGTTACCCTGGACTCTATCCTCGCTGCACCTTATTACCATTAACCCTTTGCTTGGACTACTGCCTGTGAATCTGGACACTATCCTTACTATACCTTATCACTGTGTATCCCTTAAGAACCCTTCAGCAAAAGGGTCCTAAAAAAAATAAAAGACTCTTGATCTCCATGCGACACACACCACACACACCACACACACCTCTTGTATTTAGATATTTACTTATCCTGGAGTTAAGCTTTAAACTAACTGTTCATATGTATTCCAATACCCTTAGGTAGGGGCATTGTAGCAAGTGGAAAACAAAACACCTGCTACTTGAAATGCAAAATTATAAAATAAAAAATAAAAAACAAGAATCAAAAGAGGCTGCACAGCATAGAATAACTAGCAAAAAGCTAGAGTACCAACCAGAAGCCTTCTGAAAAACCTACACAATCTGACAAGGTGGCGATTACATAAAACTCAGGGAAGGAGAAAATGAATGATGCCATTCCCCGATTAGCAGGCTACATATTAGTTCCAATAGTGTATCTAACACCCAAAGGGTTTATTTTTCTACCTCTCACTGGATTCTATTCTATGCCTCATTGGGGAGATTTCCCTTCACTTCCAGTCCTGTAAACATAACAGGAAATAAAATGATATCTCTCGAAAGTGAGTGAAATTGTATCTATAGTTGTGATTATAACAAATGTCCCCTTAACAAGTGTCCCCACTTTCCCTCTATTCCAGTTGGTGACAATAGAGCAATAAAAAATTGACAGAGCAGCCAGCCATTCCCTTTAGGATTTAGATACATTTTAACCTGTTGAGTTTCAGGAGTGAAATCAGCAAAAGGGGTCAACGTGCGTTGACCTGCGTTTTACCACACAAGGTCAACACATTTTTTTTCTTTGTGTCCCATTCACACCACAACATGGGTTTGATGGGTGGTGCACTGTGGAAAAATTACAACATGTTGCATTTTTCACAGCATAGTGGATGCCACCGCAGGTCGCCACATGGCAGCGCAGCACACCACGCTACTGTGTGGGTACCGGAATGGAGTATACATATTGTAAAAAAAAAAAAAGATATGCAAGCAGTGACAGCTCTGGTAGTGTGTGATACAACGCACACTGCCGGAGCCGACACAGTGCACTAGCCCACCTGCTAAAATAGTGTTCTAGCGGACAGGCTAGTGTGAATGAGTTTACTATGTTTTGCATTTCATACATATAAACTAAGAGGACCCTCTTTACATTACCATAGTGTTCCTGTTTCCTAATTCCCTTCAACAGTTCAACCAATTTTCCTGGCTTGGAGTTGCTCTTCAACATCCCTTGACAATTTTCCCTTTCATTAGACTATGTGCTTCTTTGCACAGGTTATTCTACTGTCAGACTCCATAGGGAAAGAAAGCCTGTAATTACAACACAATAACATTACCTTCAGATGGCAGATTACGTGAACGCGATCAAAGCTCAGCAGACAATGTCAGGGTTTCAGTAAGCCCAACTGTTCCATCGTGTAAAATATAGATTTTTTTTTTAAAGTAAGAAACTTTCCTTTTATTTCACACCTACCGTATAAAGCAGTAATTAATTGCAGTATTTCAAATTAACTTAGACCTGTCACAGTAAAACTGTTTAATAGATTTTCTGAAAGTTAAAAATATATCAAAATGGGATTTGTTATAAAAGTTCTTATTTTTTGTAGCTGCCTCCTCCTACACTTCTGCCCTTTTGATGACTACAATGCCAGTAAATGACAATGAATCGGAAGGAATAGAAGTTAAGCATTCAAGTTCTTTAAAACCGCTACCTGCGTCTTTGAGAAAGTAAAGGGTATGCAATGCACTGATAGGGCATCTCTGCTTCACACTGAGCAGTGCAATTAATAGGAAAGAGGGTAAGGCAGCAACCCGCTTTTAGGATAGTAGTATTCGAAGGTCATCGGGTCCCCCCTTTTTTTGTTTTAAAAGCATAATGAGGAAGATGAAGTGCTGGAGTCAAAATACGATCCATAATTCCACTTAAAAGCCAAAATCTATTACATTGAAGCATCAAGACGCTAACACATTTCTAGCCTTAATCATAGCTAACTTGTGTTATAAACTTTCATACCCTTTAAATATTGTCCATTCCCATTGCAAACAGTACAACCAAGTCTAAAGAATCCACAACTGAATCTCTATCACTGAGACTGAGCAGTTCCTCAATAGTCCTGCTGTTGAGACCAACATCACATGATAAGGTGGCGAAGGGGGGAGAGTAAAACTTTTTTTATGGAAGCATAATGATTGTGTGGACATAAAGCCATTTATTTTTCCATTAGGTCAGCATTACATTTCTCTAAACGCCACTCAGAAAAAATAAAACTACTTACATTTCCTTGACAAAATGCTAATGCACCGCAACAAGACATTCATTTGGATAATTTGGCCCCAAACGTAGAAAGGCTTTCTATAGGAAAGAATCCTGATAAGGAACCCTGTGGTCATGTATACAAATACATATATTCGCTTATTTAATTTTATATAGCTTTAAGCACTAAAAAACAAAGTACATAAAAGGGACACTGAAAGTTGTGCCCAACAAAAAGGCAGAAAAAGGACAAGTAACTAGATCTATAAAAAGATAAAAATCAAGGCAACTGGACTTGCTGTATTTTATTTTTACAGCCATACCATGACCTGGATGAATGCGAACCTTCACAGACAAGTCACTAGTACCACCTGTGGTCTGCCTGCAGCTGATGTTTTCCCCCATTACCGACTTGCCATACCATGTCCTGCACAGCGTCTCTTTACGAAAGCAGCCATCATGTTAGAGGCAGGGCTCTGCTTCCTCATGTCAGAGCCTCCAGCAAGAACAGTGAACAGCAGAGTAGTGAGATCACCAAATCTCCTCGGACTAGCAGTCTATATAACTATAAGGCTACCTAAGATGCTCTCTGCTAATTGTACAGGTGAGATACATGACAAAAAGGTGTATGCTTCAATATGTTTCAAGGTACTTCTTGGCACAATAACCATTTCCTTTTCTGTTAACAGGCAAACAATAACCATTTCTAAATGTTTCCTGTAACATAGCCAATCTCCACTTTGAGTCAAGTCAACTTCAAAAAAAAATATACAGCACAGAAGGAAATGTGCAGTCTAGTTGCAGATATATTCTGCCCCATTCGCCCCCCCCTCACTCTCTCAGAGGCAGTACAGTATTTGAGCATCTGTTTTACCCCTGCATTAGCTGCACACCTGCCGCTTTTTGCCCTTCCACAGTGTGCAGGGTGGCAGCAGAGGCTTGCACAGCAACTACTGTAAAGCTGATCAATAAGCCTTGTGCTCTTCAGAGCCCCTACAGGTAAGTGCAACATCCAGGTAAGGATAAGATCCCTTTCTGTTTACACTGGAAGTGATGTGATCTCACGACACATCACTTTCAACACTTCCCTGCCGTTCCCCGCACCAACAGATCAATGTCATAGGGATTACCGCTTGCTGATTACAGATTACTGATCTATTGATCGTGATCTGTTGCTGCAGAGGGAGACTGAATCAGGCCTCCCTGGACTCAACTCAAAGCAACAAAAGCTAAATAGGGGGGGGGAAACATTAATCCATCATAAACTATACATTAAGACTACAGTAATTGTAGATCAGCAGAGCTGAGATGCAGCAAATAATGAAAGAAAAGTTAAAAAGTGTAAAAACAAATTTAAAAATGACAGTTGTGTATGATACACTGTGCCTTAGCAGAGCTAATTAGAGTTAATTACGTGTACTCAAAGTCTGTATATTCAGATATAAGCATTAGCCTAGACATGACTGGTTTCCTTTTAACAGCAAGAAATCCACACTTTTCCAAGGTAATGAGATCTGACAGAAGTTGAAGAACAGTCACTCAGCACAGAGAAACTCTCAAGCATGAAGACATTACTGCAGAATTCTTTGTTTCAAAAATAACCATCCATTTGCAGGGCTGGCACAATGGAATCCTGAGAGCTCAACGTGTATAACTATAATTCTGAGATCTGCATAACTGCCATACCATTCACAAATGAAATGCATAATATGTGTCCTTGTGTTTTCAACATTCTAGCTTCTTAAAGTGCAAATTACCAGGATCTTACAGCCAGCGTGATGAGCATCTGGTGCAGAATTGGGAAGCCTCTTAATTATGAGAAGCCGTTAACATTGAAATTACGGAGCAGAGCTGGTAGGAAGGAGCACACCTATTTGGAGTCCCATTCAATAAATCAGACATGATCAGATCTCCTCAAGACCTCTAAAGTAATCAAGTTAATGAGCCCCATGCAAGCCCATCATTACATCTGTCTGGGACAACTATTTTACAAGGCAATAATGAGCAAATTGCTCAGACTCCTGTATGTATAGCGTGTAGACCTTTATGTCTGCTTAAGTACAAGCTGGAGCCTGCTTCTGTCATGCAAAACAGCTTGTTAAATTCAATCCCAGATCTAAAATGTGCTGAAATAACACAGAGATGGCAGAGATGTGAGCATCATGCAGAGATCCACCATTATAGAACATACTGAAGCAACAAGAGAATTCTACAAGATAACCTTCTGGAAGGTTACCTGCTTTAGGTCTTTGCATACTGAGGCAGCATGAAAATTCTAGAAGGTAACCTCTTAAGCATTTTGCACAACGTCATTATCATTCAGCTATCTATATAATATCCATGTACTAGCACAATCTTACCCAAGGCAATGTGAAAACAATGCAGAAGCAACACAAAGTAATACCTTAGGTGTAGAAATTGAAGGGCAACACCAGATAAAATAGTCCAAATACAACTTTATTCCATTAGGATTTAGGGGACATTCAAGTAGTCCAAAACACATCCCCTTCATCAGGTAAAAATCACAAGGGAACATGAGGAAGAAATGATTGCAATAAAATTAAAGCTTACTTGATACATCATAAATGTAGGGCAAATTATTATAATCATTTACTTTCCATCTGTTTCCCTACATTTCTGATGCACTAGGAATGCTTTAATTTTATTGCAATCATTTCCTATATTTCTTATTGATGTTCTCTTGTGTTTTACCTTAGCCTTGATGAAAGGCACCCCTAAAATGCACTGGACATTCTTTTTAAAATGTCCCCTGACCGTAATGGAACAAAGTTGTAGCTGAACTATTTTAATTTGTGTGGCGCTTCAGTTCCTACATCAGTGTAGACTAGCAAGCTAAGGATACTGGGGAGATCGTTTGGATTAGGGCTGTAACTAATGATTAGGTTCATAATCGGTTATCCGATTATTTTTTCAATTAAAGTCGGATTAAAAAAATAAATACCATCCTTAATTTTTTTTAAATACACAAATGCAGTGTTAAAACACAAGTTTACTTCAGAATAAAACTGCATGCACAATTGTTTGCAATCACACTGCACTAGAAAGCATGGCATTGCGGTAGCATGCATTCCAGTGCGAGCAATCACACTGTGGGTGGGAGGCACGTTTGGGGTGCCATTAAAATGAATGGCACTGCAGCGCACCTCCCGCAGCAGAATTTGTCAGGCTGAACCTGAAAAATTACCTTTTTGCCGCCTTTTATTAAAAAAAAATATTTTAAATAACTGTATTGTAAGCACATGACGCGTGAACAGCTTCAGCCAGGCAATGACAGCTGCCAGGGCCACGATTCCACAGAGGCAGCAGAATGTAAATACAGCAGGTAGTGGGCTGGTGCAATCACCAGCCTGCTATTGACCATTTCAAATTGCAATAGCCAATAGCAGACTGACTATTGCATCAGCCCACTGCTTGCTGTGCCCTCCTCCCAGCATGGAGGAGAGAGCTAAGGGATCCAACTAACTAGGGATGTCCCGATACCGATGCTAGTACTGGTATCGGGGCCGATACAGGGCATTTTCAGAAGTACTTGTACTCCTGAAAATGCCCCTATGTCTAGATCAGATACCGGCCGTTTAAATTTGTTCAACTATCTTCGGCCATTGACGCCCGTAGCCCCTCCCCCGGAATACCTCTCCTCCAAACGAGGCTCCCACCCCTACAACCAACTAATCAATAATAAGAAAGGTTGACAACTATTCTCATAAATCGATTTTTATTGATTAATCGATGAGTTGATTGCAGCCCTACCCTGGATTGTGGAAGCTTCCTACCCATGAGCCAGATCACCAATACTCATCACTTTATCACTACTGGATGAGAAAACACCAAGAGAATAACCACAAGAGTCCAATGCTTTCTTTCCACTTCCAAATATCCAAAGCAAGACCTTGACCTGCTCAAAGAAAAGAAACTGAGAAGCACCAGAAACCATATACAATAAGATATAAAAGTGATAATATAGATACACAGATTGTACTGTAATCATATTACCTTCAAACATTTGATCCAATATTGAGACACAGAAAACTGTGATTAAGTTAGGCTATAATAGAATAAATGGATAGATGTTCAGAGTGCTAACTTAATTAAAGACATGACAAACATGATGTTCATAGGGCATGCTTGACTTAATGGAAGAACACAAAAAAAGCAATACGACATCATAAGATGGATGTATTTTTGAAGCATAATGCATAGTTAGATAAGCATAGCATTACCCTAAAAAGACCTGATCTTAATGAGATAAAAAAGAATGATGATCTAAAGAAATATATTTGGATACCTCCCCTTAGAGCGTATATTAAAGGCCATGGATGGCTATCTGTATACCAGATTCTACCCGTTATAAGTATACAGAGTATGTATAATCTTTTTGTATGCAATTCATACTGTTTGCTTACTATTGTAACCTATGTTATATTTATTTTATAAATCTTAATAAAAATTAAAAGAAAAGGGAAGAGAGGAAAGATGCTATTCCTCATTTGTTTTTTTTTAATAAATATTGTTGCACCTCTATTGAGCCAATAAAAGCCCTCCATTGTCTCCATTTTTCTACAAATATCTCATGTCTATTATATGCACGAGCTGTCAGTTCTTCCATTCGCATTATGTGGTTCAGTTCCAATAACCATTCCCGGATCTCAGGGGTGATCACTTGCCTCCAGTATCTTGGAATTATCGCCCTTGCTGCTTCCAATATGGGGCATGCCAGTCCCCCCTTTATGCTTTTTACTGAGCCCGGAAGCATTGATAGTGCCACTTCTGGGGTTTCAAATAATCTTGTACCCATAATTCTGCCTGCCAGCTCAAATATAGTTTTCCAGTAGGGCTTTATTCCATGGCAAGTCCACCATATGTGCAGCATTGTGCCCTCTTCAATTCCACACCACCAAAACATATTGGTTACTTGAGGATCTATTTTATATCATTTCACTGGGCATCTATACCACCTGGTTACTATTTTAAAGTTCCTCTCCTGGGTACCAACCGATATACTTGATTTAGAAGTAAGGAGGAAAACTTTATGCCATTCTTCTGCTGTAAAGGTCTGTCCAATTTCTCGTTCCCACTCCTTAAATGTAATAAGGGGGGGATGGGAGCATTGTTCCCAATAGAATATAGTGTGGAACAGTTATATTTATTTCTGCATGCCTGGCTGTATATTACATTTTTTAATGTATAATATACAGCCAGGTATGCAGAATTAGATATAACTGTTCCACACTACAGGTGTGGGCTGGGCACATAAAAAAAAGTTATATCTGCCCCTTTAAGAAAAAGTATCGGTAATTAGTATCGGCGAGTACTAAAAAAAAAGTATTGGTACTCGTACCCAAAAAAGTGGTATCGGTGCATCCCTAGTGAAAAGGTTAGTTTACTATTCAATCACAAGTACTAGTATTTTTCATCTGTTATGATATATTTTTCACCTGTAATTAAGAATAAATTAAGAAATTTTAGATATGAAATAGCCATATTAAATGATATCCTTATTAAATGATATCCTTATGTAATTTATGGAATTGTATGTGAAATGACACAAAAACATTTATTCTGGGGGGAAAAAAACAAATTTAAAGAAAAAAAACCCCTAATATATATTTGGTACTTTGGGATCGACCATCAAAGAATACTGGAGTGTATGTGCCTAATGAACACTGTTCTATCAAAATCAGTTGTGCTGATGGATTTGACCTATTACAGCTGAAATCAAATTGCAAGCCATGTTAAGGTGCCTCCTCTTTTGCATTCTGTTTCTATTTTTACCAATAGGAAGAACAGTCTGGTTCCTTCAAGGAAACCTGTGGACAATTTAAATGTCACTTATGAACAGCAGGCACATCCATGGAGCTTGCAGAGCGGCTTTAGTATCTTAACCAGAAAACAAGGAGCTCCGATATGCAAAGAGCAACCGCATCCTGAGGTTAGCCGTTCTGGACCTCTCCTTCTGTGCCTCACTATCCATAAGGTCATGTTATGCTATTAATGAGTCAATAGGGTTTTCTGGCACCCTGCGAGGAATGTAAACTGGTGCGCAGGCACCGAGAGAGGTCTGATTTTCAACATAAGTTGCATTTACTCTCGTATTTATGTTCAGTTATTACATTAAAATCTTACATATGACTGACTCGTTTCTGAGTTCTTAATTAATTTGCCCTCCCCTTCAAGAGGAAGCCATCAAAAAAAACAAAAAAGCAGCCAAATATGATGGTTCAGATGCATTACTCTCCTACAAACTGTTCTTAAAAGCTCTGGTAAAATTAGTAAAAACACAATCAAAAGACTGACCCCCACATTGAAAATTATCCAGTTAAAGGTCTTTTGGATATAACAATATGTAACTACGTGGCTGAGGTATGCTCAGGTAATTAGACCGACGCTGACACCTTGCTTCAAGCAAATTTTAATTAGATTTGACAAGGCCCTCTTTGCCAGACCTGAGAAGACCCAAGTTTCAGTGGTGTAAATTGTTCCTGCAGACAACTAATATTTTTGACATTGCTGCTTCTGGAAGTGTAAAGCTGATTTGAATCAGTTTGTGGACTGAATAAATCAAGCACTGTACATGTTTATGTACTCAGCTGCTACACTTGTACTCAGATATTTTCACACTGCAGACATTGTATGCAGAATTGGCCAAAACTAGAGTAACGGTGCCGAGCCAAGTACATAAACGCTATGTTTAAGCACGGACCATGGAGGAATATGACAGGTTCTCTTGCCCTTTATAGATCTTCAGCATTTAACTCCTTGCAGATCAGTACTTTCCACATAGATTTTAACAAAACCTTCATACAGTACCAGATGGTATGTGATTAAACCCAAAATGATTGCCTCACTCTGCATATAGTGTACATATTCTTCATTGTCTTCTAGTCACATAGTTACAGTTAGAAAAACAGAAATACATTCATTGATTTTAACCAAAAAAATTAATATAAAAACCTTGCATCCTCAGGGCCCTAAACCCGCAAATAAAGAAGGAAAAAAAAAAAAAAAGAAGTCTTCTAAAGCCTGATCCAATTTGAACTAACAACCTTCCTGATACCCAAAGGCAATTGTATATTCCCTGGATAAACAATATTCATTATTTCTTTATAAATCTTAACAAAAACACAAAGATCCCACCTCATAGATCCAGGCCTGGCTGCAAATAAAGCATTCAAGCTAGTCTGCAAGTGGGTATGTCACCAGCGCACCAAGGATCTTTGCTCAAAAACTTCTTTATTGATGATTAAGCATCTTGTCAACTAAATTGCAACATTTCAGGGCCGTGCAGGGTCCCTTCTCCAGGCATACCAAAAGGCCATTTCAGAAAACACAAACAGAGCACGGCAATGCTGAACAATTGCAAGAACCCAGGCAGTCTTGAGGAATACTAGAACCTCTGTCAGCATTCTTTTACTGCCTGTTACCCTGTTGCAGATTTTCACTCACTTCCTGTCAGGTAAAACGGCGCATACTCAAAGATGCTGAGAATGGCCAGGGTGCCGGGGAGGATGTAATTGTGTACATGCGCAAGAGTCACATCATCAGTGGCCACCTAATAGGTGAACATAACGTCTGAGAACCTGGAAGGATCATCTGTTAATGTCGGAGACAGAGCTGAGGACTAGGGATGCACCGATACCAAGTACCGTACTCGGTAGAAGTACAAGTACAGATACTTTTCCAGCTCCAGGACTAGACTAGAGAAACACATTCAAAAGTTTCTGGGATTTGTACATCTGTTTTAATGTACGATTTTGATATATATATATATATATATGGGATGTACCGATACCATTTTTACGAGTACTGATACTTGCCCAAGTAATCACAGATTTTTGTTTATGGTCATGTGACAGTTTTTCTAAAACAATATCGACTAATGATTTCAGGACAGTGGTGAAGCGCCAGAGCCCTGTCCCAGCTGAAACCGCTGCAACCCTGACAGTTCTCATGAAAATGCCAAGTATCGGCACTGGTATCTGAACTGGCATCAGTGCATCCTGAGGACCAAAGTTCAATCCACCATGCTGGAGGAGGGCACATTTGTAAGATAAGCGTGCTCACGTATGTAAATTAGGGCAAAAACAGAAAATGAGTAAAGTGGTTTACTTACGCTTTAAAAGCGCCTATTGTCTCCTAAACTGAGCAGCTGCTGAATTCTTTATTAGCGTTCTCATTCCTGCTAATTGGATACCCATGTTAAAGTGCCTTAGTAAGATTTACTGGAGAAAAAAACAAACCTTTATAATCATAGTTTCTACTTTTCTGGGAACATAATGGGCACCTACAACAATGATAATAGTTACTATAAATCTGCCTGGGTACCATATATGCAAGCCCTTCACTAATAGTCACTGTGGGAAATGTTATGCCAACGTATATAAGGCACAAGGAAAGTAAAAGGTTAAGACATGGCTATGATGAGATATATTCTTTTAACTCCCTTTTGATTTTACCATCAAATGAGAACATGTGCGAAATGTAGTTTTATCACTTGTCCTCTGAAGATGAAATACTTTTTTTATACCAAATAGGAGACTTTTCTGTGTGATGTTCCGTTTCTTTTTTTTTTCTTCTTCTAATACTAAATCTCATATTAAAAAGGTCTTGTATGTCCACT